TTGCATTACCATATGCATTCATTTTTTTTAGTAGATAAAGAGACAAGGCTGTTTAAATATTCAAAAATGAAAACAAGAATTATCCAATAAAAAGAAAATGAAGGGTCAAGTGTCAATTATTTAAACTCCTTATATTTTTTTCATTGTTGTTTTGTTTTAAAGATTTTCTTAAATCCAAAATTTGGTTCCAAGGTATAGTTGCTTGAATTTCCATTTCTCAATATGAATAGGTATAATATGATTTTAATCACTATTTTTGTCAAGTCCCAGAACCCAAATCCGAGACGCGACAAACGCCGTACACTCGTGAGACGGGTCTCATAAGTGCACAAGGCTCGAAACTTATCAATCACAATCTGATACCACCAAAATCTGAAGATCAAATTTTATAATTCTCTCATATCATTAATCTCCAATAAAGTCTCCAAATACAAGATCATGATTTGTTTCTAAAATTCATATCCAATTACAATATGACTAGCCTTCTAACTCGTCACTTCCCGTGGTTTCCCCATCCTCGGTTTCACTTCCTGAAATGGTGGACAAGGAAAAACAAGGTGACATAAACTCAGTAAGTAAATATGGATAGCCCTTAATTAAACTTATAGCATGCCAACAAGTATAATCACGAAAAACAGATACGCGTACGGAAATGAAATAGACGTCTCCTCTATAGGTCATGGCCAGCGTTTATAAACCTCCCATTGGCGTGCACACGATTTACTAGTGTATAATCCCCACTAGCAGGGCCACTGAACGAACCGGCTCTATCACTAACATGTTGACATGTGCTAGCGTTTATAACCTCCCCCACTAGCAGGGTCACTAATAACATGACCACATCAGAGACAAAACAAGCAGAAGTTAACAGAAAAATCATAATCCACCAATCACTTTCAAATCATCAAGACAATCGATTAAATTTCAAGTAGGCATGCTCAATTTAATGAAAAGCATAAAAATTTCACTTCAAATCAGTCGTGCTCGTGTAAAACGGGTTTAGTCCCGCCACCACTTCAAAAACAAATCAAAACATGCTTTTAAAAACTATACGGGCATTACCATAAATTTACTTACCTCACTTGCATAAAACCGAGCACTCAATCTTAGTGCTAACTGACAGAACGATCGGAAACCTAATCAAAATATTTCAAGAATCAATACCGTACTATCACAATTTTAAACTGAAATCATCATGACTAATCCATAATCACGATATTATTTCCTATCAATCTCTACATGATCAAATATCTCCAAATTCGTTCTTATATCACAAACTAATCATTTAAATCTCCGTTAATTATTGACCCTCGGCATGTGAACAGCAATATGTGAACAGTGTCGTGAACAGTACCACGTGAACAGTGTCGTGAACAGTACCACGTGAACAGTGTCGTGAACAATACCACGACGTGAACAGTAACTCCAACTTCCAAAAATGGGCCAAAACACTAGCTAATTCACGGGATTTTCTCCAAAAATCACACAGCAGCCAATTAATACTCAATCACATAAATCCCACTTGAATCAATGCTTAAATCTCATTCTAAAGTTACCGGAATTATCCCCCATTTTTCTGTAAAATTCGGACATAACAAGCCAGCAAACTAAATGGGTAATTTTAAGCTTAAATGGCTGTCACATACCATAATTTTCCAGCTGCAGAAACCGAGCTTGGCTGGGGGAGGAGCCGGCGGCAATTTGCAGGAGAAGCTCACGGAACTACCAGAAATTGAAGGAACAAGAGCAATTAAAGTAAACCCAGGGCAATTCAAAGCTAGAGAAGGGAGAATTCGAGCTATTTCTTACCAAAAACCGAACAAATCACACCCACAAGGCAGGAGCAGCCGGACGGTGAGGAGCAGAGCAAGGCAGATCCGGATTTTCCAGCAAGGGGGGGAGAATTTCTGGGTTCTATATGGGTTCTAGAACAAGAAAGGAAGGGGAAAATACCAAGCTTCCTTACCAATTTTCCAACGCATGGCTGGGTTCTCTTTCTTTTTTCTTCGGGTGGCTGCAGCGGGAAGAAATGAGAAGAAGAGCAGAATCGGGCTGAGCAGAAAGAGGAAAAAGGAGAAAAAGAAATAA